TTCCAATATTTCTTATAATCCTTGTAATTGCCTGATTGGTGTCACGCTCCATAAAAGGCATTTTATCGTCAGGTCTAGCAATATTGATATTAATAGCCTTCTTTAAGGCAATATTAATAGAATCCATGACTAGTAGTTAAAAGTCAATTAAAGAAATCATAAATGTAATACATTTAGATAAAAAATAATTAGACCAAATTGATAATTTGTTACGGCAAATTTCTTGTTCGAAGTAAAACATTAGGAAAAACTTACTAGTGGTGATAGGCGGTTGTACGATAATTTGGATGTTCTTAGTGGATACGTAAAAATATTCTCCAACAGTTTTGAATGGAGATAATATTATACGTACCTTGATATTGTTCTTTGATATTTTCGGCATATATTTTGGTTACCAGATATTCACCTTCGATAGGAATATTTACCTTCCATAGCACGAGGTCACGATCGTCGATATCTTTAAAAGTATTTCTCATTCTTCTTCTTGATGATAGCCTTGAGAAGCCCAACGATCATGTCTTTACTAACATCAACCGAGAAAGATTTCCTAATGGAATCACTTAAAACGATGCAAAAAAATCTGGAAACTCATTAAAAATACTTATAAATCATATAATTTGTAGAATTTTAAATACCATAATTTCTTCGGTATTAGATAACATCGAATATGTAAATTACGAAGTTCCGAGGGTGGTTGGTGTTGCGTAATCTGGGTATTTATAAATTTAAGTAATTTTCGTATGATTAGTGATGTTAGCAATCTCATATATAAACAATAATTTCTTTGAAAAAGAATTTTTTTAATATTTTTTTATTGTAAACAACCATTTTAAATATTTTTAATAATAGTAAATTTATATAACATTTATATATTTTATTTATATGAAAAAAAATTAGACATATACTGTATATATTGTTATTTGTATTTTTAAATATTTAAATATTTTTTTTTTGCATTTATATAATTCAAAAGCATATTACAAATATTTAAACTAAACAAATGAATTTCAAACATATTTTGACATGCCATTTATATTGGAACTTTTGATTACTGTATGTATATAAAATTTCAAACGTTTTAATAATTGGCAATACAATAATGTGATGTTTCATTGATATACAACCATCGATCCTTGTACAACTTTTTAACATTGATATACTGTATATGCTTGAATGACAACATAAATAATGTAATTTTATTTATGTAACTTATCATATTACGGTATTGGAACTTAAGATTGGTAATTTATGATGCAATTGAACTTACGATTACTTATTTTAAAGATTAAAACATTTATGGATGAGAGTAAAATAAAGAACATGTGTCACCCGCGCATACAGTAGCTAGGTTGATCGTTGACGCTCAATTTTTTAATAGGATATACTGTATTATTTAAAAAGTCCTTAGAAATTTTTATTTATATTATGTTTGTGTTTAAAACATGGAAAAGATAAAATCACGGCTATGTATTATATTATTATAAACTAATACCAAAAATAAAAACAAATTGATAGCTTATAAGCATTAATTTCTACTAATCGACGCAGTTTATTATTACCTTTATATTTCTTAATGTTGCAATTTGCCGGCAGCTGTTTTATTATATAATATATATTTTTTATGCCTAGGTATGTAAATTTTCCTTATTTTGATCGCCCAGGTAATTTCAAAGGCAAGCATAATAAAAGGGGTTTGTTATTATATAGTATTCGCGTGCATTCGCATGAAGTGTAAATTTAATGTTTAAAGAAAACGATTCAGATCAATAATAAAAAAAATACTATACTTGTTTCGAAATATTTAAAGTTTGACATAGAATGCCTGTCTATTCTACAATGTATGTACGCTTCATACATAGATATGGCGCAACTTGAAGACTTTGCGCACGGTACATTCATAGACATAAAATTATAATTATATGATATTTGATGCTTGTGTTCGGTAGAACGATTATTGCTCAACGATTGATATAAGATATCGTTAGAATAGATATTAGAACTCCACATTCTTTGGTGTTCCTGGAAATGATTCACAAATAAAGCTAAGGAGGACTTTTCTCTTTGGTCGTTCATTCAAAATTTTCGATAAAGGGCAAATATTATCGTCTTCTTTTTTTAAGAGCTTATTGGGCCTTTTAATAATACCATCCTCTTTTCTTATGCACCTACTTTAAGAAAGCGTCCGTCTCTTTATCTTCCAATGTCTTCTGCTTACTCATGTAAGAAAATTGAATTTTAGATTTGGATGAAACCTCAGAAGCATTATCAACAGAGCTAGGTACATTAACAATTTCCTCGGGAGAAATATCTTGGGTTGGCTGTTTGATCATCTCATTGTTATCCCTTAGTTTCATTACTTCAGCCTTAAGTTCAGCAATTGCATCATCACGCCTGGAATTTTCAGCAACAGTATCTGTTCTACCCTTTTCTTACTCCTCGATTCTACTCTTGAGCTCGGCCCTTAGCTTCATAACCTCATTCATAGCCTCATTATACTTGGCTTTAACATCAGTATTCTCAACCTCAAGCCTAGTAATTTTAGCCATAAGTCTGGCATTTTCCTGTCTAAGGAAGTTAATCTCAGATTTTATTTTTGAAAGCACTTTTTATACACAAAATACAAGCATTCAAATAAAATAAACACATGATTTTGGTAAACTTTTCATCAAAAAAGTTTGCTGAAATTTTGCCAAAAAAATTTTAATAAACCATGATGTAACCTGAAATAATCATACTATGATCTTGTATTTATTGATATATTTACATTAGTACTATATACCAGCTCCACTAAAAAAAATTTAGCAATTAGGGTTCTGAAAAGTATCAAATCAGTACTAAAGTGATATTGAAATGATACCAATCTATAGTAAATTTAATATATGGATTGTAACCAACTTATATAAATTTATAGTAAATTTTAAGTATCAAATTGGTATCACATTGATATTGAAGTGATATCATTAGAAGCTCTACTATTAATTAATATATTTACACAACATTTAGTAATAAATTTCTGTTATATAATTGTAACCTATCTGGAAGAGAATTCTCAACCTTTAAACCATGTCTTGCTTACCTTAAATTTATAATATTTTATTAGTCACAAATATTATTTTTTAGCTAATAATCATGTAATTAAATAGCTTACTGATATATTTTCTCCTACAATTGGTGAATAATGACAGAATTCAAATCTGATTGACTTTCAGTTTGTCAAGTCTAATCTGACAATTTAATCTATAAGCATTATTTAGATCTTGTTAACAGATTATAGGAATAATTGATCCATTCATATCCTGCTCAATTTCAACTTTTCAATTTTTATAAATTTCAATAAAATCATACAAATGGTAAAAGAACATACTATAAACAAAATATACAATATCATGTCAGATTTCTCTTGTAATAAGGAAATTATTGTATAAAGATATTGTAAAGAAAATGTAATAATCTGCTCTAGGCAAAGTAAAATTATAATTTGAAGCTGTGGAAAATAAAGTTTGCTTTTTTCAAAATTATTCAATATAATCAAACAATATAAAAAATTTGGATTGTCATATTTATTTCAATAAAAATCATTTATAGTCTTGAAATTAATCATGATTATAAGAAAAACTTCAAATAAATAAGACAAGAAGGAACTTTAATTTAACTTGTTTAGTTTTTTATATATTTTTTGATAATATATTCTAAGAGATCCATTAATACAATTTAATAATGGCTAAGACCACAAATTAAATTATTGATATATTTTTAATAATTAAAATTATGTACTGTTAACAGAAAAGTGGTATAGGATATGATGACATTATATGCTTCGGTACATCTCATATTTCAATTTTTGATAATTAATAAATAATAATCTATAGCAATACTGTAGAATAAAGATAAAAAATAGTTTCAGATAGTTTATTAACTAGCATAAAAAAAGTAACAGTAGATAGTCTATTTTAGCTTAATAAGAAAGTATAATATACCATTGACAACAAAATGTAACATGCTAATATAAAAAGAAAAAGAGTGATAAAAATTATATGACACATAACTATAATTCGCAAAACACAACCATAATTCATAATATATAACAATAAATAAAATTCAGGTATACAACAATAGCCTTAATTAAAAACTTCCTAATTAAGATATGTGATCAATATTGCGAAAAGAATAAAGACTAATTAACTTACCTAATCCAGTACTTGTTATAAGCAAAGGACAATAAGAGAACCACAAAGAAACATGATAAAGATTTTGTTAAAGGAAACAACAATAGAAAAAAAAAAGGAATTAGTAAGACTTAACTGAACAAAAATTATATGCTTCAAAAAGAGAAGACTTAAATCTTACTTGATATTATGTGAGAAGAGCTTCGAAGAAGCAACAGACTCGCCGAATAAGACATCAACAGTATACTAGTATATTGAAACTTATATAAAAAAAGATTATATAATACATATAAATTAAAATATTTGATAAAATCTTTTCAAAGATTGTTGCTTTAATAGAAGTATTGTTTAATATATAAAAATAGTATCTGTTTATGGCATTTGTTTTTTATATTATAATGTTTGAATTATTAAGTGCATCCATATAAATTAAAGTTTTATTTTCAACATTACAATATATTCTGATTCTAAAATATCATGAAACTAAATATTTTTCTTAAGCAAATAGAGATCCCCCTATACAGATATAATTAATCTGATCTTTTCAATTCAAAAAATATATGCATTAACTTTAATCAAGGTTTCTTGATATTTATTGTTTGAAAATCTATCAGTAGAAGCATTATCCATTTTGAATAAAAATAACAACATATATTTCTTCTTATAATAAATTTATTCAGCAACTAAAAGCAATTTAAAAATCTATTTTCTTTATTGTATTACAACGAGACTCTGCCTCTTTACTATTGTGAAATAAAAATTGGATATTATTTTTTTCCATTATAATTACAGTATTTCATTAACTAACTTGAAAAAAATTAATAAGATATTTAATAGCTCAATATTATTTGTTAATTCTATCTTTTAATTAATATTTTAATTAATGGATCTTTAGTTGAAATTTTTTTATAAATTTTAATGGCTTCTGATATTATATAATCTGACAAATAAAATGAAATACTTCTTTATTTATTTTTAATATATTGAATTTTATCACATACAGTATATTGTTATTGGTATATGATGAGTCTGTCATTAGTCCAAAGCTAAGGCTTACATAAAAATAAGGATAGGGGTCAAGGATCACTTGTTTAATCAAAGATATGTACTAATATCCTTTCTTTATTTTGTATTGCCAGGCTAATCCTTTGTCACAATTCCCTTATGTGTCTCTTAGAATCTTCAACAGTTAATAACTCTTCAAAGATAAGTATTAATAGCATAAAAATTGTAGTAGGGGGCATGACGTGACATGTGGAACCCACATAAGGAATCGATCATGCATTAATCATGTATGATTGATGGGTGCAAAGCTTGTTAAAGTTTAGTAATTCTGTATAACGCAATGATAGATTTAGAAATGTGTCGCAGTCATATAAATAACAATGATGTTCAAATGTAAAAGAGAGAAAAGAATGAATTAATAAAATACTATTCACTGAAAAGCCAAGTGTTTGTACCTGTGCAATGATAATTAATAAACTTATCTTATTTGTCTTTAGTCACCTTAAGAAGAATCCAGGGTCTTATAGTTCAATAGGGAAAGGATTAGAAGAAGAGACTAGCTAAACTTAAGGGAAGATTAAGATAATTATCACCATACGTATCTTTGGTATTGCCAGTGACATAGATCCATTGACCCAACGTCACATGAGTCTTGATCCAGATTAGCGACAGACTTACCGTTGAGTCCAACAGTATATTAATTATTTTATTGATTGATACAAATGGTATTTAATAAGTGATTATCTTTATTGTGTTCTTTTGGATCTACTGTTACTATTATTCTTCTTTCTACTCTAGCTGATTCTACTAAACTATCATCACATCATGCAAATTAAGCTTTCGGCTGGTTAGACTTTCCTATTCATAATCTATTGCTTTGCATCTAGTCATGTGACTATCAGCAATTTGGATCGACCTACACATTTTTTCCTGCTAACAATATGGATACCTGTTTTCTGAATTTGTTGACAATGTTTTTGATGTTAGGGTTTGTAAACAAACTTTTTGCTTGAATTCTTCTGATAGTGTAATCACTACTTCTGTTTTGATGTCTTTGTCCCTGGTTTCTCTTGTCCTTCTTATCATTTTAATACTTGTTAGTAATATTAACATCTTTAGCTCACTTTTTATATTATTAGGATCTCTTGTACTTTGTTTTGTTCTTGCTACTTGTATACTTACACAACTTGTATTTATTGCATGTATTGTATATATATTCCCTCTTTTGTTGATATGTGTGTTTTTTTCGCAACCTCACATAGTTTAATTTATATATGTGGTGTAAATAATTTTGTTGTTGACTTAATTGTCAAAATTCTTAAAAATAATTGCATCTGACTCAATTATTTTATATGTTTTAATAATGACTCAAATAATTGCATCAAATAAATTGCATCAAATTGCATCAAATTGCATCAAGGATCTACCAATTTCTATCACATGTATAGTTTAATTGATAATGCCTGGGGCTGTTGGGTGTAGTGTCTGAGTATTATAATGTCTTGTTTTCTTTTCCTTAGTTTCCCTATTGCTTGCTTTGTTTCACTGTCAACCAGTATTCAGTTTCTGTTTTGATTTTTAAGTTCCTTTGATGTAAGCCTATATGTTTTGTACCATGTTACAAATGGGTTTGTTCTGTACCTAGTGTTCTGAGCATTCTTCTTTGCATGTCTATTGGGTCTATTATTTTCTTTCTTATTTTCTTATAGAATGTTGGAATGCAGCCACCAGCTTTCATATTGAGTAACTTTATAATACTGATTCATATATTGCATTTGATCATATTTATATTGAAAAGTTGTTCTATTCATTTCAGCTTTTGGTTTTTGGGTCTTCTCTATTTCTACCAAACTATTCTCTTTCCATTTCTTCCTCTATAGTTTTTAAATTGTATGCATCTTTATATGTGACTTTCCTTCTTACTCCTATTGTGATCCTAATATTATGTGTTTGACTGTTTCTCAGCATGTCATGCGTAAAGTTTTGGTTGCTTCTAAACAGCTTCAGGCATATATCAGTTATTGGTGTTGGTGTCTATACTCTCCATTGAATGTTTCTTATATTGGCTTTGATAATGTATAAGATTATATTGTTATAACCTATAAATGCTTTTGTATTTGTTATATGTTTTTGTAGTTATCTAGTTTGTAGGTTGAATATGTTATATCCTAGACAGCTATGGAAAAGGGTGTTCGGGGCTGTTGTTGCAAAGGCCAGTTTGTGTTTTATTGTATGTCTTATTTTTCTGTTTATCTTATTAACTTCCCTGTTTGAGAATACCATGTCATTGAAAAGATATTTCATTTTCGGGAACAACACATGATTCAATATATATATTGTTTGTTTGTCTATTATTTGCTTTTATTTGAGTTTGT